AGCAAATGCATGGCAGATGAAGTATAATGCTCTTAAATGCGAGATTATCTACTCTGGGAGCAAAAACAGGAAGGCAGATTATCAAAATGGCAATAGCTTGGGAAAGAGGAAGGTGCAACAAGACTTGGGTATCCTTGTGCACAGTCACTTAAATTAAGCGTACAGATGCAGCAAATGGTGAAGACGCCAAATTGTGTACTGGCCAACATGGTGACAGAATTCAAATACAGGTGCAGGGATGGCATCCTACAAATGTACATTGCTTTTGTGAGAGCACACTGAGTACAGCATGCATGTCTGGCCCCTTCCCAGAAGGAGGATACTCTGGCTATGAAGGGAGTACAACAATGGTTTACCCGAATGTTTCCTGAGATGGCAGGACTGATATATCAAGTGGGAGCTGCTCCGTTAGGGTTACACTCATTGGAGTTTAGCAAAAATGAGTGAGATCTCAGAGATCCATAAAATTCTAAAGGGACTAGACAGGAATATTGTTCCCGATGAACAGGGAATCCAGTCCCAAGTGTCACAGTCTAAGGATACAGAGGAAAAAACTCCAGGGACAATTAGTCTGTCACCCAGTCATCCTTTATTTACACACAAACAGTCCTTGTCTACAGTGCTGCCTCACAGAGAGCCAGGCACCAGTGTGTCATTATTTTTGACACTCACCTTTTTCTATATGTCAGCCAGTGGTCCCCGATTGGACCAGATTAACAACATCAATCAGGGAACTCTATCATGTCCAGCTGGCTGACCTCATTACAATCACTACACACAGGGTAGGCATTTAGGACTGAGATGAGGGAAAATTTCTTTACCCAGAGTGGTGAACTGTGGAGTTCACTGCCACAGAAAGTGACTGGGGCCAAAACAGAGTATTTTCAAGGACTCCGACATAGTTCACAAAAGGCACGGACAAAGCAGATACAGAATACCTAGTTGCATGGTGGAGCAGGCTCAAAGGTCTGAATGACCTACTCTTGTTCCTGTTTTCAATGTTTCCCAATATGCTGCCTGTTGTTACAGTTTTCAGAAACAAGTCGAAAAACATTCTACTTGAACTTTGACTATAGTTCTCAACCAGCACAATTACAAAATGAGTAATAGCTTTAGGATCAGCATCTTCATGCAATAAAAGGATGTCAATCTGACCAATTCAACTGATTCATTCATAGGCTGAACTAGTTGTTGATGTTAGCTGATTATTTCGCCTGCAACTCTGACCTAAATGTCAAAAATCAACAGATGAAAAGGAGATTTTTGGTTAAATTCAGATTCAAAATACTAACACGTAGAGGCAGACCTCTGTGAGACAATGGCATGATTAAAATCCACCTAAACTGAAAAGTTACATGCACAATTCTCCATTCGATGCATTTACCTCACTGACCTGTTCTCTCTCATACTATCAACATCAGAAATCATGTCCAGCCAGCTATGACGAACATGATGCACATTTTCCTCTTCTGTTTCTTCATGGGAAGAATTGTAGCCTCCATTTGGCACTTTCCACAGCTAATATAATTTAAGAATCCAACTTATTAAAATCATATGGTTATAACTAGATCTTACTTCAAAACAAGAACCACCATAAAACATCAACAGAAACAAGTCAATAGTTCAAGCAGTATTTTAGGAAGGGATGAATAGTACGATAAATTATCACAAAGAAAGCATTGAATTTATTCAAAATAAAAAACCAATCAGGAGAGACTAGAACTGAAAGAATGGGAAAGCGGGCCTGGGTGAGAAAGGCAGCAGAGGCAGAGAAAAACCAGCAGAGAGTCATTTCAACTTATTTCTACCTATCATAGCCAATTAATGATATCAAAGAAAAACATGAGGTGATTAATGCAGTCAACGAGAATCAGGGAAACATTCGCTTCGGATTGGAGTCATACCTGATACAAAAAACTGTCTGTGGCTATTGGAGGTCAATCTCCTCTGCTCTACTGGATCAGCCAAATAAATAATGCTGTTACAAAATCAGGTGAAAGGCTAGGAATTTTGGGCAAGCAACTCATTGGTTTCTCCAATGCCTGCGCACCATCTACAGGACAAGTCCGGAGAATGGTGGAATACTCTCCACTAGTCTGAATGAGTACAACTCCAACAGCACTCAAGAAGTTTCACACCAGCCAGGACAAAGCTGCCTGCTGGACTGGCACACCATCCACCATCTTCCACATTTATTAGTTTCACTAATGACATTAGTTGCAGTGTGTGCTATCTAACAAATAAAAACAATTTAACTGCTTAAATTAAGTAGCATACTTAGCCATTTCATGGAAAATTGAAGACCAAGTACAATGTTGTGGGTTTTTGTTCATTCAGTCATGGGATGTGGGCATCACAGATTGGGTTAGCATTTACTGCCCATCACCAGTTGCCCTTGAGGGAGAGATGGTGAGCTGCCTTCTTGAATTAGTGCCATTTGGTATAGGTAGTAGACCCACAATACCATTAGGGAGGGAGTTCCAGAATTTTGACCAATCAACACTGAAGGTACGGCAATATATTTCAAGTCAGGATGGTGTTTCGCTTGGAGAGGAATTTGCAACTGGTGTTCCCATGCATCTGCTGTCCTTGTCCTTGTCCTTCTAGTTGTAGTGGTCATACATTTGAAAGGTGCTGTCTAAGGATTCTTGGTCAATTTCTGCAGTGCATCTTGTACAGGCTACATGCTGCTGCTGGACAGAGTGGATGCTTGTGGATTTGGTGTTAATCAAGCAGGTTGGTTTGTCCTGGATAGACCCTTCTAAGGAAGGGTCACCGGACCCAAAACATTAACTCTTGATTTTTCTCTTCACAGGTACTGCCAGACCTGCTGAGCTTTACCAGCAACTTCTGTTTTTGCTCCTGATTTACAGCATCCGCAGTTCTTTCGGTTTTCATTTTGTCCTGGATAGCGTCAAGCTTCTTGAGTGCTGCTGAAGCTACACTCAGCCAGACAAGTGGGGAATATTGGAAATGGTGGGCTGGTTTTTGGGAAGTCAGATAAGTGCTGCTGCACTCATACAGCTAAGTCCAGTTCAGTTTCCAGTCAACAGTAAAACTCAAGACGTTGGTAGTGGGTGGAAACTTAGTGATGGCATTGTCATTTAAGGTCAAGGGGACGCTATTAGACTCTCCCTTGGTGAAGATGATCATTGCCTGATACTAGTCTCAGTAATCGTCGCTGGGAACTACCAATTATCGTAAAAGCACATTTGATTCACTGATTGATTGAACTTGAATTCCATTTGATGTCCAGAGTTTAGACTATAGTATTACAGTAGTCAAGCAACATTTCCATTACGGCACAATCTCCACAAGCTGACAAAAAGATCTTTGCTTTAGCCCGCTTTAGTGGCCAGTGGTGTACCACATGGATCAATGCTTGGGGCCCCAATATTCTTGATTATATAAACTACTTGGATGAGGAAAACAAATGAAATATTTCTAAGTTTGCTGAAAACACAAAATAAGTTGGGATTCAGAGCTGCAAGGAGGATGCAATGAAGCTTCAGGGCAATCTAGGCATGTTGAGTCTGTAGGAAAACATTGCAGATGCAGTATAAGGTGAGGGAGAGTGCCAGCCTTTGACATCAAGGCCACATTTGATCGAATGTGGCATCAAGGATCTCTAGCAAAACTGTAATCAAATCGACATCAGGGGAAAACGGTCCGCTGATTGGAGATGTACCTGACACAGAGGAAAATAATTGTGGTCACTGGCGAGATCCCAGAAGACTTGAAAGTAGACACTGTTCCTTTGTTTAAGGAGGATAACAAGGATAATCCAGGAAATTACAGGCCAGTGAACCTTACAGCAGTGGTAGGGAAATTAATGGAAAAGATTCTTAGGGACAGGATGTACTTGCAGTTGGAAAAGAATGGACTCATTAGGGATTGTCAGCATGACTTTATGGGCAACAGGTCCAGAAGATCAAGTCACATGAGATCCACAGCGTGTTGGTAAATTGGATGCAAAACTGGCATGGTCAAAGAAGAGAATAGTTGTAAAGGGTTGTTTTTCTGACTGGAAGTCTGTGACCAGTGGTATTCTGCAAAGATCAGTGCTGGGATCTCTGTTGTTTACAATGTATATCAATGATTTTGATGAAAAGGCTACAGCACGATATAGATCATTTGGAAAATTGGGTGGAGAAATGCAGATGTAGTTTAATCCAGACAAGAGTGAGAAAATGCATTTTGGAAAGGCAACAGCAAATTATTCAATAAATGGCAGGACTCTTTGAGCAGTGACATACAGAAGGATCTTGGGATGCAAGTCCACAGCTCCCTAAAAGCGGCCAAGTGGATAAAGTCATAAAATAGGCATATGGCATGCGTGCCTTCATCTGTCAGGGTACTGAGTATTAAAGTTGGCAAGTCATGTTGCAGATGTATAAAACTTTAATTATGCCACATTTAGAGTACTGTGCCCCGTTCTGGTCGCCACACTATGGTGTTGAAAGGCCTTGGAGAGTGTGCAAAAGAGGTTTGCCAGGATTGGAGCGTTCATTGGCAAAGAGTTGATTGCTATATGGAGGCATTCCTGTAAAATGTCTGGGAAGGTTTTACTACATGAAAAGGAGTTCACAATGTAAACAGTCATTGTTGCTGCTGACTGTGACTTGCAACTTTGCAAGTGAGAAATCAAATGACGAGCTCATTCGAAATTACTTTGCCCTAAATGACTGTGATTCTAATCTTATGGCATCTCAGTCGTGAAAAAAACACCGTTAAAATCTTTTGAATTCAAGATATCCAAAACACTACAAATCAATCACAATATTGGGCTCACAGATGAAAATACAGACGTAGTTTATCTTTCAACAGCTTGATTCAATCCACCACACTCCTATTACTGTTTCATTAATTTAATACTCATACATTTCAAATATGTAATTGGATTTGAAGTAATTTAAATTTTCACATCACGTCAACATTACTTCCACCTCTTATATGGAAGGTTATTTTATACATATTCAGGACTTTAAAAGCCATCTTACCGGGCCTCTGCAGCAAGCAGCTCATCGTAATGAGAAGACCTCTGATCATCATCTTGCCGATAGCGGATCACTGTTGCAAGACCTTTACTCACCAGGGCTTCTGCAATGTTACTGCAAAAGAAATGGTTAGAAAACAGTTACTCGTAAGCCCCCACTTCTAAGAGAACTACACGAAGCACAAAGTATTAAAATATGTCCAGCAACCCTATTAAACATTAGGTTATCTTAACAGGGATTTTACACATTCAAGTGCATTATCTGTATACCAATTAGAAAATAAGCCCTACAGACTAAAAAAAACACATTGTACTATTGACTGGGCCTCAAACTCCCAAGTGACATGGTCAAATTTAAATAATACTTGGTTCAAACATGCAATAATACATTATGGCATGTCTATTAGATTCGGCACCCGACCAATAAAATTCAATCCCTTTGCTTCGGAAACAAAGTGATTAACAGGTAATCACATAAACCTAGACTAATATGCAGTGAATCAACTATAAGGATGTGCCAACAATTTTATTCATGAGTAATATTAGGTCATATAAAAGCACAAAAGTTCAATAATCAAGGCTGTGGCACAAGAGGTGGATAATAAAGATATGCTCAATACTTCTGGACAAAGGAGGCAAGGTATAATCAGCATGAAACCAAACAGACACATCCTTAGGACCAAAAAGCGTAGGAGCAGAAGTAGACCATTCAATCCCCCAAGTCTACCGTGTCATAAGATCATGGCTGATTTAATAATCCTAAACTTCACTTTCCTATCTTATCCAAATTATGCTTGACACCTCCTGTTCGCAAATCTATTTATCTCAACCTTGAGTATATTTAATTACCCAGTGTCTGCAGTAAACAACTCCACAAATTCACTAGCCTCAGAGGAAATGCCTGCTCATCTCTCAAATGGGTGACCTCTTATTCTGAGATCATATTGTCTGTTGCTAGACATTCCCATAAGGGGAAAAAACCTCTTTGCATCTATCCTATTGAGCCTCTAAAACAATCTTGTCAGCCTGAAATGCCCCTCTTATCCTAACTCTGTCATCAATTCGCCATCCATGCTAATCTATCACCTCCAACACCATAGGCTCTTATCTAATTAAGTAACCTCATGATCCATACTTCACTGAACACTTTTTGGAAATCAAGAAATTATTCCATCAATTGGTTCACCTTTATCTATCCTGCTTGTTACTTTCTCAAAGAATTCTAATAATTTGAGAGACATGATTTCCCTTCATGAAGTCATGTTAACTCTGCTTGATTACGTAATGTATTTCTAAATGCTCTAACTGCTGTTATCCCAATGACAGATGCTAAACTAACTTGCCTGTTTTTTTTTGTTCACTTCCCTTCTTGAATAGGTCTTTACACTGGCAGTGTTCCAATCTTCTGAGACTTTTCCCAAATTCAGGGATTCATGGTAGATTACTACCAAAGCATCCAATAACTTTGATGCAACTTCCTTCAATGCAATTCATCAGGTCTGGGGTGCTTGAATGGCCTTTAGCACTATTAGTTTTCCCAGTGCTTCTTCGTCTTGTGATAGTTGTCATATTTACTTCCTCTCTCCCTTTAGCTCCTTGATCATTTAATATTTTCTGGAATGCTAGTAATATCTTCCACTGTGACGACCAAGACAAAGATTCAGTTCCTCTGTCATTTACTGGTTTCCCATTATTATTTCTGCAACTTCATTACCTATGGGGCCTATGTTTATTTTGCACTTACTCTTCATTTTTATATATTTATAGATGATCATGCAGTGTTTTGATATTACTTGCCAATTTAGCTTCAAAGTTTATTTTCTCCCTTTTATTTAGTGATCTTTTGGATAAATAATGTTCGACATGTCTGAGATTAAAAAAAAGGTGCTGAGTAGCCTCATTAGGGTCATTTAAGCAGCTATTAGATAGGCATATGGATGATAGTATAAGGTAGCGGTGGAGGTTAGATAGACCTTAGGTTTAGGGTAAAAGTTCGGCACAAGATCGTGGGTCGAAGAACAGTACAGCACAGTACAGGTCCTATGTTCTATGTGTAGGACAGGAAAAATGCTCATAAAAGGATGAGGTGCTAAATTAGCTTTCATAATTCTGCGCTTTATGATCAAGTGAATATAACTACCTGCAATATATCATTCCTCTTTGGAAAGAGCGCCATTCTATGGCTCCCTTCCATGTGGTTAATCATCCATTCTCATACAAATAATATTTGTTGCATAACATAACATACTTTGACATTACCCTAAACCATTTTTATCCTCCACAATTATTTCCCATGAAACCCTCCTGTTTTAAAAAGGGAGGAAGGCAGAAGATGGGAAATTATAGGCCAGTTAGCCCAACCTCAGTAATTGGTTAAGATTTTAGAGTCCATTATTAAGGATGTGGTTGCAAAATGTATATAAAATAGAGCTGAGTCAGCGCAGCTTCATCATGAAGAAGTGATGCCTAATGAAACTTTTGGAATTCTTACAGAAGGTAACAAACAAGTTAGACAAAGAGTGTCAGTGGACATGATCAATTTGGATTTCCAGAAAGCCTTTGACTGGTACCACATAGGAGGCTGCTAAATAAGACAAGAGCCCATGGTGTTTGGGGCAAGGTACTGGCATGGATAGAAGGTTGGCTGACTGGCACAAGACAAAGAGTGGGGATAAAGAGGCCTTTTTCAGGATGATAGCCAGTGATTAGTGGAAGTCTGCAGGGGTCAGCGTTGGGACAACAGCTCCTCACATTTAGTATTAATAATGTGGAAGGAGGAACTGAGAGTGTTGTCGTTAAGTTTGCAAATGACCCAAAGATAGGTGGAGGTACAGTACTGTAGAGGTAGTGAGAAGGCTGCAGAAGGAGTGTGCAAAACAGTGGCAGATGGAATACAATGTAGGAAAGTGTGAGGTTATGTACTTTGATAATAAGAAGAGGTATAGACTGTCTTCTGAAAGGGGAAAAGACTTTAGAAACCTGAAGCACAAAGGGACTTAGGAATCCTAGTTCAAGATTCTCTCGTGGTTAACATATAGGTTCAGTTGACAGTTTGGAAGGCAAATGCAATATTAGCATTCATTTCAAGAGGACCAGATTACAAGAGCATGGATGCACTCCTGGGGCTGTATAAGATTCTAGTCAGATCATACTTTGAATATGCCACAAGTTTTGGAGCCTTCTAAGAAAGGATGTGCTGACATTGAAGGGGGTCCAGAGGAGGTTTACAGGAATGATCCCAGGAATAAAGAGTTTGTCATGTGAGGAGCAGTTGAAGACACTAGGTCTGTACTGAGTTTTGAAGGATTGCTTGGGGGAATAGAGGGATTTCATTGAAACTTACAGAATACTGAAAGGCCTGGATATAGTGGACGTGGAGATGTTTCCACTAGTAGAATAGACTAAGACCTGGGAGTACAGTTTCTAACAGAATGAATGACTCTTTTGAACTGCAATGAGGAAGGATTTCTTCAGCTAGACGGTAGTGAATCTGTGGAACTTGGTCTCCACAGTCTTCTGTGGCAATAAGTCAAGGAGTACGTTTAAGACAAAGACGGACAGGTTCTTGATTAGTAAGGAGATTAAAAGTTACAGGAAGAAGGCAGGAGAATGGGGTTGAGAAATATATCTGCCACAATCAAATGGCAGAGCAGACTTAATGGGCTGAATGGCCTAATTCTGCTCCTGGATCTTATGGCCTTATAATCTCCCCAGTTCCCAAAGTAACCCTTAAAAAAAAAAATGGGAGTGAGAGCATACTTTGACACAAGATGTGCAATTTCTATATTTTAACATAATTTATTTCACAGTTTGGATTTCCAACTAGTTCTGGGTGGTGTTTCTGAATGGGTAATAATTGCCAGTCTTTCTGGTGTTATGATTTTGAACTACTACGTGTCAGAGAGCGATAATTGGGATACTCCTGAAGTGATAATGAGAATGTTTTGCATTTTGCAAATTCAAAGAGTAATCACTTAAAGGCATTAGCTTTTTGGTTTAGAAGAATCAAGAATTAATTTCGGCTTCACTTCAGATCTAGCTGTGGTCAAATTTAACAGCAGTTTCTGCTGAAAAAAGGATTTAATTCAAAACAGTTTGTAAATAGGATGCCGCAGGGCAAGGCTTTTAGTTTGAAAATTTCTGACCAAAACCTCAAAGGGATATTTGAAGCTAAGAATTTTATACAAAGTTGTAGGAATAATTAAGGAAATGGCTATCAAGATTTCAAGGCTGGGAATTCAAAGAAACAGTTAAATCAAATGTATAGACATGATAGGGAAGGCAATTTCCTCCCTCTCTCTGGTATTTGAGTACTGTAAAGTGATAATGTTGGGAATAGATGGGATTTTTTTTTTCCAGTGTTTTAAAATCTTGTAAATTGTGTTATATATTAAAAGCTGGTATGTTCTATTTTATTTTAATTTCTTTTATGTAATAAACTTCTGCTTTATTGTTAAAACTGAATCTGCAGCATTGTGTGTTTATGTTTCCATGAAAGGCCACCACATTAAATGATCTATCAAGCTAAATTTCAGTCTCGAATCTGAATTATCCAACAGTAGCATCAACTGAAATCAAAACCATACACACAATCATTCAAACTTAAAAGTTGGTGTAATTCTACTGAAATAAGGGCCAATTCACCATTTTATGTTCCATGGAAGATTGGATTGTCAATTATTTATGCTACAGCCAAGAACAGCTTAACATGGATCTCAAAAGTTATTCAGCCAAATTAGCTCAGTGGTAATGATTTGGCACAGAAGAAAACCATTTGGTTCAAATCCATACAGGCACTCTAAAACAATCCAGTCAGTGCCAATACCCTGCTCTGTCCCACTAAGAGGAGTATCTATCCAATTCCCATCGGAAATTCACTTTGTGGTTATGGGTTCAAGGTCCACTCTACCACTGCGTGTACATAATCTATACAGACAATCCACTGTAGGAGAGAGTCCTGTACAGATGCCATCTTCCAAATGAGACTTAAATAACAAGTAGCAAGATACTGGTAAAATAGGCACAAGTCAGCATCAACATATTTTTTCTACACAAGTCCAAGTTCCTAATACTGGAGTGCTCAGCATTCCCTCACATATTAATGGAGGCTTTAAT